TAATAGCGGTGGCCTCCAACCTAACAGCGATGGCCTCCAACCTACTAGTGAACCTACTTGCTATGTTCTCCAACCTACAAGCGATGGCCTCCAACCTAATAGCGGCGATGGCCTCCAACATACTAGCGAGGGCCTCCAACCTACTAGCGATGGCCTCCAACCTAATAGCGGCGGTGGCCTCCAACCAAATAGTGGCGATGGCCTCCAACCTAATAGCGGTGATGGCCTCCAACCTACTAGCGATGGCATCCAACCTACCAGCGATGTCCTGCAACCTGAGAGCGATGTTCTCCAACCTAACAGCGATGGTCTCCAACCTAAGACCGATGGCCATTAACCTAATAGCCATTGCCTCCAACCTACTCGCGATGGCCTCCAACCTAATGGAGATGGCCTCCAACCCAATAGAGATGGCCTCCAACCTAATAGCGATGGCCTCCCATGCAATAGCGATTGCCTTCAACCTAATAGCGATTTATTCCAACCTAACAGCGATGGCCTCCAACCTAACAGCGATGGCCTCCAACCTAAGAGCAATGGCCTCCAATGCAATTGAGATGGCCTCCAACCTAACAGCCATGGCCTCCAACCTAAGAGCGATGGCCTTCAACCTAACAGCGATGGCCTCCAACCTAAGAGCGATGGCCTCCAATGTAATTGAGATGGCCTCCAACCTAACAGCCATGGCCTCCAACCTAAGAGCGATGGCCTTCAACCCAATAGCGATGGCCTCCAACCCAATAGCGATGGCCTCCAACGTAGTAGCGATGGCCTCCAACCTGGCGTCCAACCTAATCGAGATGTCCTCCAACCTAACAGCGATGGCCTCCAACCTAAAAGCGATGGTCTCCAATGTTTAATAGCGATGGCCTCCATTGTAGTAGCGATGGCCTCCAACCTAACAGCAATGGCCTCCAACCTAATCGAGATGTCCTCCAACTTAACAGCGATGGCCTCCAGCCCAATAGCGATGGCCTCCAACCAGCTTGCCAAAAACTGCACAGAACATGAGGAGAATTGCCTCAGACTTTGCACCTCAACAACTTGGCACAGTTTTTCTATGTTCACAACGGGTCTTAGTCTTTGTCTCTTCCAACAATGCCCATATCAACAAAACAAAATGGGCGAAAAATGCACGATACTCGGCTCCCATGAAGATGGGGAGCAGCCTGGTCGGGTAGGGGTGGGCCGAAGCGGGGTGATTCAGCTCTTCCAGGGAGAGGTGGGGGTTGCATTTCCCTGTGATAATCACTGTGTTTAGGAGCCTGGAAACTAGAAGTGCATGTTAATGGCCGTCCTTTTTTTGCAGGTTTCCCGCCGGCGGCCCACTGGGACTCCAACTTTTTAAGGGCCAAGGTGGCTCTGATCATCAAAGAGGCCGGTTTCTTGCCGCAAAGACCCAGCCGCTTGTTTGAGTAGGAATCGCTTTTCTACTGCTCAACTCAGTGGCAGCCATTGTGAGGTCTCATGTGCTTACGACTAGGGTGGATTTTGTCTCCAGACATTGAAACGCTTGTGTGGAGGGTCGCACAAACCCACCATATGTGTTAAACATGGCCTCAAAGAAACGTGTGCATTCCTATATCATATTGAAATCTGTATCAACACATGTATTGAAATGCGTATCATTTTTTCACTGTATTGAAATTCTGCATTGAATTGAACTTTGGATCACATCCAACAATCATACCAACAATATAATCAAAACCCATATCAAAACCTGTATAGAATGTAGTCTTAGTTGACGTTTTGCCAGAGCTCAGCGTCGATTGGCCGTTTCGGCTCGGTCAGCTGGGCTCGCTCATGGTGGAAGCGGCACTGACTTGCAATAAGTGCCGCTCAGGAGCGAGGCAGCAAGGAGACTCGTGGTGTCTCGCGTGCGCCGCGCTCGAGAGCCTCTCAGCCGATCTCCGGCGGGAGTGGTCGAGCGCGGCGCTGCGAGTCATCGCGGAAGACGCGTGCGTCGCGGCGCTCGCACGGTCCGGGCGCTGCGGTTCGCTGCCAAGTCGGAGGAGCTCCGAGCTGGGCACGGCAGCGAAAGTAAAGGGCAAGAGAACTCGATCGCCACCAGCACCACCGAGGCCCAGGCCTAAGACACCTCCACGGCCACCCCCTGGACATCGTGAACGAGCTCATCACGAACGACCAGACGAGCGATCCAGACCGGAGGAGGAGCATTCAGAGAGAAGGAAGAAGCATCGAGGCGGCACCAAGCACCAGCAGCACACTCGCCGCCGAGACGACGGTGAAGCCAGGGTCACCCATCGGCCGCTTGGACGTGAGCACTTCGAGAGGCAGGCACTGCCTCGAGAAGAGGAGGAGCGTTGAGGTGTGCCCCCATTGGGGGAAGAGATCGGGGAAGCTCAATCATGGCCCCGAAATCAACAAAAAAGAAAGATCCAGTGAGGTATCATCTTCAAGAGGATTCAGCTTCGTGCAATCCCGAGGACTTCAACGAAGGCGACGTCATCGAGGTGTTGGACCTGGCAGGAGTCGAAGGGCTTTCAACTTCAAGGGGAGTGTTTTGGGTGGAAGCCGTCGAGCTATCAGATGGCTCTGGCATCACCCTCAAGGTCGCCAGCCTGGGAGGAGACGATCAGGCGAGTTCAGCCCTCTTGGCAACCATCTTCAACCGGAAGAAGGCTCGCCTGCACCTTTGTTTCTCCACCGAGGGACCCACAGCTTGCAAGTTGGACGGACTTGGCATAGGAGGACATTGCAGTCAGGTTCACAAGTATGCCCTCTCGGACTACCCCGTGAAGGCGGCCGACCCGAGCGTTGCTCGAGCTGTTCGTCGCCGGCGTCGGGACCTGGATCGAAAGAAAGGGAAAGGAGGTCGAGAGGCCTCATCCAGTCGAGAACGATCGCCCAGGAGAGAACGCGAGGAGGACGAGCGTCCGGGTGCGTTGAGAAAGCCTGGACAAAAGAGGAGCAGAGAGGAGGAGCACGAAGTCGACGAGGACCCTGCTGGCGGAGTTTGGGAAAGGGCCCGGTCCTTGAGAGAGGAGGACAACAGGAGAGAGGAGATCGAGGAGCACCACCCGCGAGAAGAGGCAGGAGAGGAGCTAGACGGGCCTGGCGCCCGCCCGGCATTGAGGGCGGCGCTCGGCAAGCTCAAGGCAAGGCTTGGACGCCCTTCGAAAGAGGGGCGAAATGGAGCTGGAGCTGGTGGAGAGCCCTTCGATGTCTTTCGACCACCGCAGGGCGAGTTGAAGAAGAAGAAGGAGAAGAGAGAGGCGCTAGAGGACACGCCCGACGTGAAGAGGAGAGCTACAGAGGCAGGAGAGGATATAAGAGGCACTACTACGAAGCCTTCGAAGAAGGAGGCCGAGGAGAAGGAGGACAGACCGCCAGGGGGAGTCTTGGCAGAGCTCGTACACAAGGCCTCAAAACCACCCAAGAAGAAGCGTGCGAGTCAGAAGAAGAGCAAATCAAAGAAGACGGCTATGGCCTTGATGCAGACCCTTGCCAAGGGGCTGGGGTTGAAGACGTACAAGAATCCCTGAGAGAGAAAGGAGAAGAAGAGCAAGAGGAGGAAGTCGGACCCGGAGGACCCCGAGGGCTCAGACGACAGCCCAGGGAGCGAGAACTCGGAGAGCGAGGGCTCGGAGAGTGGCTCAGGTCGCACGTCAGGAGAAGAGAGGGAGAAGACGGAGATGGAGAAGGCCACCCCGCCCTTGGAGCGGATGAGTCAAAAGCGAGCAGGCTCCGTCTTGAAGCTCTTCGTTCGACACATGAGGGAGTCCTTGCAGAACCTCGACGAGGGCGAGACGGAGGAGGCGACAACAGTGACCGGGGGAGTGTCAGCGATCAAATACTGGCACCTCATTGTCAAACCTCAGGTGGCAGGTCGGATGAAGGAAGCCCGCGAGATTTATTGTCTCCTGCAGGCGCTGGACCTACGTCGAGGAGGTCAGTTGGACCAGCTGGGCGACCTGGTGGCGGCAAGGATCATGGCGATCCAAGCCTCCAATACGAGCATCGTGCTGCAGGCGAGGAAGTTTGCCAAGATCTCGGACCGTGCGCTGGGGATCACCCCGAGGCGCTGGCAACCGTTGGGCAAAGGAGGAAGAGCGTGGCAAGACGAGGAAGATGGTGGCAGAGATGGCAGAGGAAAAGGCAAAAGCAAGAAAGGCAAAGGAAAAGGAGGGAAAGACAAAGGGCAGGCCAAGGACTGGAGGCAGACTCAAGAGCCACCTCCAGGAAAGACGGACAATTGAAGCGGACATGTTTGAAGATGATCCTCGAGGAGGCGCACACTATGAATACATTGGGCGCTAGCCTTGCTTGGTTGATCACAAGGCTGACCCAAGTAGGAGGCGCAGAGAATATGAGGACTTGGCTGGGACTTGAAGCCGTGAAGCACCGGGCGACGAGGGGCACAACTCGCTCCCCCCGCTCACTTCTTCCCGTGCCGACAGGAGTGAGTCCCGGGTTGGTTGAACATTTGAGGAGACAGCCGCAGCCAAGTTCGTTGGAGGTTGAAGGATTGCATGCTGTGCGCAGGGCATCTTTGAAGCCCGTTGCGTCCCACCACCAGGCGACAGGAGAGGAAGGTGTGGAACCTTGGTTGTTGTGCGTTTCCGCCGGATGCAACTTGCTGGCGGGACACAAGACACTTTTGCCACCAGGCGAGACCACTGCCTTACAGAAAGCAGCGTTGGACCAGATGCGATCCACGCTCAGGCGGAGTCTCGCTCCACACCAGGACCTCCGTTGGCTTGAAAAAGATTGCGTTCAAGAGCTGCTCAGGACTCATGTGAACTATACAGGTGAAGAGGTCGAAGTTGCACAAACCCTCACTTTTGAACAGATGGAACCTGCCTTGCCCCCAAAAGGTTTTGGAGGAAAAATTGACATCCTTGAACACCTAACCCCGGGAAGCAGATCCTGGCTGACCTCGCCGGATCGACTTTTGAAAGATTCTCGTTTGTTTGATGACTTCAAGTTTGAGGCGAAGATCCATATTGCAGATAGAGAGAAGACTGAGATCGCCAGGGCTCTTGTTTCTCGGGGGGTTTGTGACTGGATCCCTCTTGAGGAAGTTTTCGAACATAAGGGTAGGAAACTTTTTAACGGCATGTTTGGTGTCAAGAAGGACTCCCTGACACCCTCGGGACTGACCGTCCTTAGGACAATTATGAATTTAACACCCTGCAACCGACTCTTTCATCCACTGGAAGCAGGTCATGGCAGTCTACCTGACATCCATGGTTGGACTTCAATCGTGATGACAGGGTCGGAGGTTTTGGAAACTTCGCAGTCAGACATGTCAGCAGCATTCTATCTTTTCAAGATCCCCGGTTGTTGGAAGAAGTTCCTCTCGTTCCGCATTGTTTGTGATGGGGCAGAGATCAACAGGAGTCCGAATCAGCAGTACTGTCTCTGCTGTGCCGTGCTTCCAATGGGCTGGCACTCTAGCGTGTCGCTCATGCAGGAGGCCTCAGCGAACATCTTAGCCAACTCGAACCTGGACCCGGTACACCAACTCATCTAGCACCTGCATGGATGGTTAACCTGTCGGGCCTAGTCGCACCGGGTCATAGAGATTGGTGGCAGGTGTACCTGGACAATTTCGCATCCGCTCAATTGCGTGACGAATATGAGCTGGCCGAGGCGCACCGAGAGCCTTGGCAACGGTGGCGCAGCGCAGCAGAAGAGGGTTGGATTAGAGCGGGAATCGTGTCCTCCGAGAAGAAACGGGTTCAACAGTCCCAGGAGGCTACCGAGCTTGGCGCTTTCATTGATGGCCGAAACCGTTTTATTGGTGGTTCACCCTTGCGCTTCATGAAGACTGCAAAGTTGATTTTGTTCATGCTTTATCATGACTTTACATTGAAGAACCTACAAACAGTGGTTGGCAGAATTGTTTTCATCATGTCATTCCGCCGCCCGACCATGTCGGTTTTTACTAATGTGTGGACCTACATTGCTAAGCCGGGACTTCGAAGGAAACTCCTCCCGCATGTCCGTCGTGAACTGTTGAACGCCCTTCTTTTGTTCCCGATCATCAAACAAGACTTGACGGCAGAGGTCGCAGACTTTGTTACATGTTCAGATGCATCCCAGAAGGGAGGGGCCAGTGCGATCGCTCGTGAACTCACACCAGAAGGACAAGCCTTCCTGAACAGAGTAAGTGATCCCCTTCATCTTCCTCGTAAAGAGCGGATTCTTGTGGTGTCCCTTTTCAACGGAATAGGAGGAGCGTTTAGGGCCTATGACCTTTTGGGCATTTGCATCGAAGGAGCCGTTTACTCGGAGATTAATAAAGCTGCAATTCGGACTACTGACCGCAGGTGGCCCCATTCAAGAAATTTGGGGGACATTCGCAAAATCGATCAAGACATGATTCGCACTTTAGCTATCCAGTTCGCCGGCTGCGAACGAGTAGATATCTGGTGCGGCTTTCCATGTGTTGACTTGTCGTCCGTGAACTGCTTCAGAACTAATCTCGAGGGTTCACAGTCGTCCTTGTTATTCGAAGCACTTCGTGTGGCCAAGTTGATCCGGAAAACATTTCCGCCGAGCGTGGTCATTCATCACATCTACGAGAACGTCAGTTCGATGGATGTGGAAGCTCGAGACGAAATCAGTCGACTGGTGGGAACACGGCCTTGGAAGCTAGATGCTCGTGATACTTTGCCGGTTTGATGGCTTGGACCAGTTTCGGTCCCCAAGAACTACCAGGTTTGCACTTCTCCGAGAAGGAGGGCTTCATCGAAGTGGTCATGTCGGCCACGGGAGTCGCCCCGAGGCAATGGATCAGGGAAGGTTGGCAATGGGGGGACGGGGTGGCTCAACCCCCCTTTCCATGCTTCATGAAGGCCATTGCTCGTAGCGCTCCCCCCCGAGGCCGGTGGGTTTGCAGAGATGCTCGGACGACGCTCGAGGACGCTGGGAGGCTGACAGGTTCAGGTTCCCACCTTATCAATATAGGGATGAACATATGTTGTGGCGAAATGGTAGATGGCGTACCATTGACTCCTCAGAGAGGGAGTTGCTCATGGGCTCGGCTTTGAGCACACCTCTCTTTGCTGGGGAGCGACGGCGATTAAATTGGACCTTCAATCCTATCAAGACACAAGGAAGACTTTGGTGGGAGACAGTTTCTGCATGCTTTCTTTTGCCGCTGTTCTAGCTTGTTCTTTTAATTGGGAACCAGGGTCCTTCTCCATCGAGCATTTAGTCAAGCGTTTGGGTCTTGCCCCGGGATTCATTACTGGCTGGGCAGCCACTGCTGCGATGTGTCGAATGCTAAACTACGGTGAGACTATTAGTGGGAGCCCTCTTCATAGGACCCTGCAAGACCTGAACAAGGTGTTCCTCCAACGTACCAACCATACTGGCTCGGATGTCAAACTCGTTACAGGGCATTTGATGGAACGTAAGCAGCAAGCTAGACAGTCGGTGCCGAGTGCCTGGTGGCGCTGGCAGTTTCTCTTTCAGAACAAGTGGCGGCTGGAAGAACACATTAACGCCCTGGAAATGAGGCAGGTCTTGAACACCCTCAATTGGGTTCTCCGTGACCGACAACACTTCAACTTCAGATGGGTTCACTGTTCGGACTCGTTCGTCGCGATTGCCATCCTCTGCAAGGGACGGACCTCGTCTCGCAAGCTCGAAGGACTTGTTCGCCGTTTCAATGCCCATTTCTTGTTGGCTCAAGTGTATCCCATCCTGTTGCACGTGGCTTCACTTGACAATCCGACTGATGAAGGGTCGAGGCAGTTCTCAGACCAGCCGCTGGCGCGCCCAACGCAGGCGTCGCCGTGCCGGCGTTAGTCTAGAGGACGCCGCGATCGCAGAGCGAACGCGCAGCCGTTACTATGCAGGTCTGAAACGCATCCTTGTCATCTTGAACCTAGCCCATTCGTGGACGGATCTAGACGATCGGCTTGCAACTTGGATCTCTCGGCAATGGGAGGATGGACAGCCCCTGGGACACATCTCGGATGCTCTGTGTGGCCTGGCGCATTACATGCCGGCTGCAAAGAACCAGACACCGGAGAGCTGGAGGCTTTTCAAAGTGTGGAGAAAGGTCGAGAGACCTCAGCGTGCCCCACCTTTTCCACCTGTTGTCCTTGGGGTCTTGTAGGCTACAGCATTGCTCAGGGTGATTTCCGCCTAGCCGCGGTTTTGGCCTTGGGCTTCCATGCCTGTCTGCGAACCGGCGAGTCGGCGAGGTCCTAACCGTTTCGCCTCAGGATTTTCTCATCAAACGACATCATGGGCTGCTCAGGTTGACTGACACCAAAAGTGCTAAATCTTCAGACGAATTTATACGTCTGGACGACTCTCGCGTGTTGATGATTCTTCAGACCGTACAAGAACTCATCCCAGAGCGACTTTGGCACAAACCAATCTGGAACCGGTCGAATCAATTCTTCCGTTCTTCGTTGAACAGATTATTGGCTCATTTTCAACTGCAAGGACACGGCTTCAGAGGCTACAGCCTCAGACGAGGCGGCGCCACGCACCACTTCGAGACCGGGGGCAGCCTCGAGAAGACCTTGTTGTTTGGACGCTGGCAATCCAGCAAAGTTGCACGGATTTATCTCTGTGATGGCCTTGCTCGGTTGGCCGCCATGCGTCTTACAGACACTCAACGACTCCGGCTTCAGCGTTTCGCTAGGTTTCACTTTTGATTTTCTTTTCAACCTTCGGTCGAGAGCTCTTAATGAGCGGGATCGTGGAAAGGAGGCATTTTCAGTTTAAAGAAAGGCCTGTTTTTGAGAATGTTGTTGGAAATGTTGTGGGTGTGAGATGCCACATCTCAAAGTCGGGATTCGGGATGCCACTTCCCATGAGGAATCCGACAGACACCCAGAAGTTCCCAGAGATCCTGCCACAGGATCGTGTTCAGGGCCAGTTCATACTGGCAAAAACCTCCTTGCTTCACGGCAAAAAGGCAGCTTGAGCGAGGGCAAATAATCTTTGATTTTGGAGTTCTTAGCAGCTTATGATATCATAACACTACTCCCAAAGCCAAACTACATGTCACCCCGCCCCTGAGATAGTATACTAGTGGCTTTTAAATTTTTGTGTTCTTTTCAGAGGATCACCCACTCCACATCCCCGGTGGAGTCTTTGCAGGCCTTGCTGGCAGTGGAAGGCTTTGACTTTTCCAATGCTCGCAGCCGCCATCGCACCCTCCTCAACTCGGGCTCTTTGGTGTCAATCAGATCCACGGGCCGTTCACTGACCAGCAAGGGAGACAGGACCGAAGAAGTAGCTCTGAAGCTCACAGATGGAGATGTCAAAAACATGCGACAGACAGTTTCATTGTGCCGGCTCACGTTATATATATATATATATATTTTTTTTTTTATAAAAAAATATTTTTTTTTTAAAGAGTTGTCGGAAAGATGGCCCAGTGGTCAGGATTGTTGGCCACATGTCCAATGACCTGGCCAACCAGAAGTTTGTCCTGGAGTGTGATGAGGGTTTGTTGATCTCGGGCAACAAGATGCGCTTGAGAGCTTTAACCAGTGGCGAGCTGCTTGGGCTAGTGAAGACAGATCCGTTGAACTATGAGCTTCGTTTGCAACCCACTTGGAGCGAGGAAGCAGCCACCTTCTTCTCGCCCTTGCTTGTCCACGAGGAGATCTACCGCAGCGCGTCCCGCTTCGCTCAATTTGTCCACATGGGATCTGGTCTGGAGGTCGTGGAGCTGCGAGTGAGCAAGAGAAGAGGTCAAAGCCTGAAGGATTGGGACTCCAGTGGCTGGAGGATCTTTGCCATCAATGGGAAAACGCCCAGCCGAGAAGAAGTTGATGAGATACTTCAGAAGGGCAAAGGGTCTAAGATGGTGAAGGCTCAGTCCAGTGTCTCTGACCCTCACAGTGCGGCACCCAGAGAAGATGTGTTCTTAACCAGAGGTCCTAGACAAGGTCCTAGACAAATGGAACCTTTTTTTTTTCCTGCTTTGGTTGTCCAAAGACCCTCCCGAAGCCTCAAGCTGAAGAAATGACTTAAAGAGAAAAAGTGACATTTGCAAGAAGGGACTTAATAGATTGATATCCTTGATATCCTCTTCAAGTGATTTCCATCCAGGGATTGTTAGTACAACTCTAAGGCGACAGCAACATGGATCTCTGGAAGTCACTCCGCCCGGGCGTGGAAGCTGCTGCTCGTGGGGAGTACATTGTACAGTTTGTCAGGCCAGTAGGGTAGAAGGTGGTCAGCTTGTTGAAAATGCCTCCAAATGAAACTTGGTTCCAAGGGTTTTTTATCTATTTGGGGTCACTACAAAAACCATGAAAAGGTGTAAGTGTAAAAGGGTTGCCAACTCAATTACACAATATCACAAAAGCCACGATGGGGGTGTGGGGCCAGGTTGGGTAGGGCGAACCCAGAGCCTGGTGGGGGAGAGCGGGTGTTGTGATGCAAGTGATGTAATTGACGCCGAAAAGCCAAATAGTGCACATGAGGGGCTCAGGTGGCTATTTGGACAGTGTTTCGACAAGGGGTGGGCGTTCATGTTGAGGCAGAAAGGGGGGACAACGTGACAGGAAAAGCGGTCGGAAATCCGTCAGGAAAGTGAGATGTGCCTCTCTAAGAGTGGAAGGGAACGCAAGACAGAATGTCACCCGTTGAGGACAGGAGAGGGAACAGAATGCAGTCGGCAAGCTTTGAGTTGCTTGGGGGTGCCTCTTTTTTATTGTGGCCCTCTGTTTTCTCGTGGGTAAAAAGAATGAGCTGGGACGCAAGAGAGAACGTGACCTGTAGAGGACAGGAGAGGGAAGGGGACAACGTGACAGGAAAAGAGGTCGGAAATGTCGACTTCATTCCATAACAATGTAATCATGAGAACTACATCAGTCGCATCCTTGGGAGTCAAGCGGGCACATGTGGGTGCCCCTAGATATTTTCAACCAATGACAAGTGAGAAAGTGCAGCATGCCTGGAGGAGGGACGCCTCTGACACGCCGATTATGGCTGGCAGCAAGGTGGGAGACACCACTCCAAACACAGTTGCGCGTCCAGACTAGACCATCACCACGACGCTTCGGAACTTGGTGCTTGAGGAAGCAGCTAGTGAGGCAAAAACACACCTTTGACAAACATCAACTGTCACACATGTATTTAACCTGAGGTATAATCGACACAGATTCAGTTCAATATCATGCCTTTTTGGCTGTGCACCGAGAGATCCAGCCGCGACCAGCTTGCAGGTCCTTTTGCAGCATGCCGGTGGTTGGACCAACACTCCTATGGGAATGTCAGAGAGCCAGAAACCCAGTGGACACTGCGCAGGTGGAACCCTGCCGCAGGACCGACCGTTGGCTCCAATGCTGTGAAAAGTTCTGTGTAGCAACCAAAGAGCGGAGGTAGTTCCTACACCTTTTGCTTAGGTGTGACATCAGACGTCGACGATGCAGCTGAAGCTCCTGAGGAACAAGACCGCTTTATGCCGCGCATTGTAGAAGGGGAGGGCGGCCTGACATTCACCATGGAAACAGCAGAATTTGGCAGCAAGGATGATCCCAGCATATACCAATGGGCTGCGAACTTGATTGGTGATCTTGCGGACCCTAAACGCAGAATCAAAGGGGTCCTTTTCAATTGTATGTGATGCTTTGATGAGAGTACATCTTCCAAGAGTGAATCTGAGTCTCATCCGTAGACCTCCAAAGATGGCCCCGCAAATCTAAAGTGCCCACGCGTGTATGTTCACTACAGCTTAAGGACACTGTGCAACTACAAGAGTCCTTTGCGGAGAAGTATCGCACGCTGACAGTGGTGACGTTCAATGCGCGCTCCACAGGGATGGCAGGTGTGAAAGGACGCCGGTGGGACGAACCGTGTACAGAATGACACTGAGAAACTGCCTGCAAGCAGAGCAACACCTGAGAAACTGCAGATGACAGGATATCAGACACTTGATGTGTTCAACATTCAATGGCAGTTTGCCATATGCATGATGAAAACATGTAAAATGTTTGAATTATGTCACCCAAGATCTCCTGCATTCTGCTCCGACGTGAACCGGGCCGATGCAGGAATCCTTCAAGCGGACCCCGACTTGCATTTGCGGGTCCTCTCAAACCTTCTACAGCCGATTCGCCAAGAGAAGGCTTGGTTTTTAGAATGTATTCAAGCGTTCAAAAGAGCAGATGAATTAAGCAGTGACCAAAGCATTGACAATTGCACAGTGTGACCAGCACAGAGATGCGCTTCAGGATATTCGTGTGGAGTATCTTCTTAGCGAAGTGCTGATGGATCTTGAATTTGATTTTGACAATGAAAATCCTGGGGAGCCTATGACGATCACGGCTTTTGAAGATGATGACGATGATGCTTGACAAACTGTTTAGTTTCTGGTCGTGCTGGGAACAAGTCATTTCACTGGGCTGCATTTTTTGTTGTTTCGAGAGTGCTGTGAGTCCTAAGTTCTCAGTCGCTGTTTTCAGCTTCGTCAGGGATCTGCAATGGCATTGCAGAACTGCGGGGTTCAAGTGGGAGACCAACTGTTGTTAATCGAGCTCATGGAGGAGGATGGTTCGATGAAAAAGATCAGTGGCTTTGTCGAGATTCGTGACTTGCTCATGGAGGCCGAAGAGGAAGACGTGGACACGACGGGCTTCCTCACCTTCCGCTGTAAGGGTCGTTCCACCCACGTGGAGGAGACTTACCGTCAGTGCCGGAACGAGCAGTTCATAGTGTCAAAGACTCTTTAAAGCCTGGGTCAGAACTGTGAATTTTACACATTTTTCTAGCTTTGATCACCCAATGGGTGCTTCAACATGCTTCAGCAGTGAGATGTTCCTGTTTTTGGTTCTCAGCCCAAGGAGACCAACGAGACGGTGAAGAAGGCCGTGGCGCAGTCGTTGATCATTGCGGAGCTACTGCCTACCTGGACGGAGTTGCAACAGGCAGCACATAAGTCTGTGGAGCGACAACAGGTGTGCGATATGAAGGAAGGGCTTTTGAGCCACGGCTTGCTCTTCCGGACCAAGTGTGACTTGGTACAAGCACTCATCTCTACAGGCTTTGCTCTACACCATGATGACTTCGCTTCGAAGGCATTGCAGCTTCACAAACGCTTCGATCCGGCGACGGATGAAGTGCTTTGGAAGTTCTTTTCGGGTCGTGACAATGCGGAACTCAGAGATGAAATCCTCATCGTTCAGCTGGATGTACTCACAAACACGTGGCGATCGCTGCCCCAGATCATCAAAGAGGACGGTGGTGGTGGTGGTGGTCGTGGTGGTGGTGGTGGTGGTAGTGGTGGTAGGGGTAGTGGTAGTGGTGGGGGTAGGGGTAGCGGTAGCGGTAGTGGTAGTCGTGGTGGTGGTAGTAGTAGTCGTAGTAGTAGTAGTCGTAGTAGTAGTAGTAGTAGTAGTCGGCTTGTGGATGCTCGTGGTAGCTCTTGAGGCTTCGAGGAACCATTCTCTTCATGTGCTGTCATGGCTATGCTTCTGTTATTTTTCATATTTTTCAGGACATTCCAGATGTTGTGCGGACTCTTTTCCATCCAGATGTGGAGATTACGCTCATCCACGATGCTGCAAGAGTGCTCATGCAGAGGTGGGAAAGCGTCCGCGAGTCTGAAGGGGAGATGGATAGCCTGAAAATGCCAGACCAACTGGTGCGATTTTTCAAGTACATGCGCCCGGCCAGTGATGATTCCGCAGGTCATCGTGAATTCTCCATGCATTGGATAGTGAATGCCTGGCAAGCTGACAGGATACAGCAGAGAAAGGTGCAAGCTCTTCTCTCGGACATTGCTCGATTGTTCGAAAGTGCGGAGACCTTCTGGGAGAGACGGGTGAAAGATGCCCACGCTCGAGCAGAAGAGGCAAAGAAGCTCCTGGAGCAGGCAGTGCGTCAAGAGGTCATTCGTGTCGTGCTTTGCTCTTCAATAGAAGACTTGGAGAAGGTGAAAGGCATGCTGACTGATGATCTTATGCTGAAGCAGGATTGCAAGATCGGAGATTCAGAGAATGTTCCAAAAGGAAAGTGTTTGGTTTGGAGCCAGGGGATAGTGATGGAGAAATTCAAGACTTTCAAGACTCCCTCTCCGGATTTGGCCAAAATTCGGAGGGAACTCACTAGATTGTATGAGGGCAAGGACGTGCGCTTGCTCTTCAGTGGCTTGGACTTCGACCGGCAACATGACGAATCTCAGAAGGCCTTGGATAGTCTCCAGAAGTACATTGTCATGGCGAAGACTGCAGGAGAAGCTTTTCCTAGCATCAAACAAATCCTGGATGACTTGTCGGATGTCTTGCACAAAAGCCAGCTCTTCAAGAAAGATCAGGAAGCCAAGCGTGACGACCTCAGATGCACGAACCCTCGGCGAAGCGTAGGTTGTTAAGATTGTATGTCCGATTTGATGCCAAGGGAAAGTCATCCTGAAAGAGAAGGAACTTCAGGCGACCATGAAAGTGGCTGAGCGCCGTTTGCAGCAAGTGGAGAAAGAAAAGGAAGACATTGAAGCCAAGAACCGCAAACTGCACGAAGAGAAGGCAGGATGCTTCCTTGGGGTTTATTGCGCTGATCACACCCCTGGGTAAAGACATTGTTGCAATCACAAGCCCACAAGTCAGGTGCATGGGCCTCTCTTCGTAGGGCTGTCGGAGTACGCGCTTCCAAGAAACCAGCCCAGCCTGGAGGGGTCTGTCAAGATCTCACATAGGCGGACGGTGAAGATTCCTTCTGACAGGTGTATAAGAGGGACAGGGTCTTGACCCACTCCGAAAAAGGTCTTGTGAGGAGATGCCTTGTTCCTCCAGTTTCAGCATCTGATCAGGGCAAGCTGGAAGCGGATACAAAGGCTGTCCGCGATGAGCTGGTGCTCGGCCTGAAGGGAGGGGACCCAGTCATCGTGGCATCTCCAGGTTTCTCAGAATGGTGATGTTGATGCTTCTTTCCAGTCACTTTTCGGGATGTCCAAAAGAGAAAGAGACAACCCCCCATGTCTTGGGTCGCTGTCACTCTGCCGGAGTCCAACCTTCATGCCGTCGACGATGCGTCCCGTCTCGGGAAAGATGCATCCTGGTCCTACCAAAGGTCCCCGAAACATGCTCTAAGGGCATTGATACTAGGTCTGAGTGACTAAGGCGTCGTCAGTCTTTTTTTTTTGTGAGGATGTGCATAAGTCCTATGTCATCGAGGGTGCGGTGCTTGAGCAATATCCTGGCAATGTGAGAAAGACGCAACACGAGCATTCAAAATGTGAAAACATAGTCCTAATCGAAAAGGATATTGAGTGTACGTATATATATTTGTGTATATGTATATATCTATATATCTATATATGTATATCTATATATTCACATAAGGATTGGAAGACTTTCGATTCCATGCAAAAAAGGCACCACATCAACCCTAGCATGTTTGTGGAGGTATCCACAAATCCTGTGTCATGCACTTTTGCCATGCCTTCTTACCGAACCATATCTTGCACCTATGTCATTTGGGGGGTAGTATGTTTCCTTGGAGCTGGGTTCTTTTTGAAAATCAATCCCAAGATACCTATCCTCGTCTCCCATAAGGGTTCTGCCACTTCTCCTCACATCTCATCTCCAAGGCCAAAGTGATGCATGATGTTGCTGCGGAACAGAGCACTCTAAAGCGTCGGGTGCAGGACCTGAGCTAGCGAAGAAATTCAATCGCATGCAAACAGGTGAAGGTCAGGTGATACAGGGGCACTCTTTCAAGGTTGCAGGGGAGGTCCCCCATTGAACTTTCTCAAGGGTCTTCTTCTCCTCACGGAGGACTTCCTTGCCTTTGCCTGAACAGGAGCTTGAAGTTGAGAAGAAGGAGTTGAAGGATGCAGTTGATTAAGACATGACAGGAATACAGGTGCAATGCACCGACGGCTTACTGTGAAATTTGATGGTGAAAGGTACCGACCCCAAGAATTTGGTTGATGGAACACAGTTGAACGCTCATACAGTCAGAGGCACTCAGGGTTTCACCCCGAAACTGGATCAATCAAAAGAGAAGGTACCTCTCAGCCACCGGGTGGTACTTTTTCCATGTCTTCGCCTGGGGAAGGAACTTAAACGAATGGAATGACACATAAAGAAGCCCAGGCATTCTGGTTGTCTGCGGCATGTGACGCCAGATGACGTTGCTGGGCTTCAGGACGCCTTACGCACGGTGGAGGGCTTCCTCAAGGACAAGCGAAGTGTTTCTTCGAGTCCAGGCTGGGCATTTGCGAAAACAATTCTGAGTCCCCTGAGTCAGTTCGCGCTGAGAGTAATCTTTGAGTCCATGAGTCCATCCGCCCGTGTGGCAGAATTGGCAGAACACATGGGCTGTTTTTTGTGGAGGAGGGGCGTTTCTTTTTTTCCGGTATTTATTTGTATTTTAGTTTTGGATTTTATGTTTATGCTTTTGTTGCTTTTCTGCTTTTGTTGCTTTTCTGCTTCTGCTGCTTTTTTGCTTTTGCTGTTTTTCTGCTTTTGCTGCTTTTCTGCTTATGCTGCTTTTGTTGCTTTTGTTGTTTTTCTGCTTTTGCTGCTTTTCTGCTTATGCTGCTTTTGTTGCTTTTGTTGTTTTTCTGCTTTTGCTGCTTTTCTGCTTATGCTGCTTTTGTTGCTTTTGTTGCTTTTCTGGTTTTTGTGTTTTTGTCTTTCTGCTCTTTGCTTTTGTTGCTTTTCTGCTTTGGCAGCTGTTCTCCTTTATCTTTTTGTTTTTGCTTTTCCATTTGCTTGCTTTCTAACCTTTGGATCTGGTGTGCTGCTGGGGGGGGGGCGCTGC